GTGCGTGTGTGTGTGTGCGTGTGTGTGTCTGTGTGTGCGTGCGTGTGTCTGCGTGTGTGTGTGTGTGCGTGTGTGTGTGTGCGTGTGTGTGTCTGTGTGTGCGTGCGTGTGTCTGCGTGTGTGTGTGTCTGTGTGTGTGTGTGTGCGTGTGTGTGTCTGTGTGAGTGCGTGTGTGTGTTTTGGATGCCATGCTCTGTCAGCCTGTACTCTCTCTCCTCCTATGAGGTCTCCTATGGTAACAGGGTCAGCGCCCAAAATAGCACGAGTCCTGCTCCGAACTGGGGTTGCTGCCATCATGCTGGTCCATCACTGAGATTTTCCCTCATTTTCTGCGTAGACAGTGTTTCTCCTTTAAATCCTCCCTCTGTCATACCACCACTCATGAGCGCATGGTCATTTAGTTATGTAGCCTTCCTTCCGTCGTCCTGTTCCTTGGCCTTCTGAAGTTACACCATCTTAGATATTCTTTGAGATCAGTCATGGTCAAATACACTGACTGCATTTTACTTGTAGTTATAATCATTTTATCTTATGCATCATTCTATAGATGGACAAAAATGATTGACCTCAATATTCTATAATGATTAAATTCATGATGATTCACGCTTGTTATCAGTCAGTTCAATTGTCAACTAAACATCTGTTGTTCCTGTGGTTTCACTACTGTTTAGATCCACCAATTCATTCTTTGTTGGGGATCTTCCAGACTTAGTTGCCACTGATTCTAGGCTCTTGGAGTTTTTTTTAGGTTGAAAATCAACAGCCAGAACACAGCATTACTGTATCCAGCTTCAGTTAAGGCCGATCCAGAGAACCAGAAATTAGCAGTAAAACTGTATGCTGGAACTATCACCAAGCTAGCACCTGTTATTTTATATCTTGATAGGTATCTGTAGGCCATGACATCCATCCATCCATCTTCAGTAACAGATTATTCCATACTGGTTTATGGTGAGCAGCCAATCTCAAGAAGCACAGAGCATTAGGCCGGGGACAGGCTGGGCAGGATGCCAGTAGATCATGCTAGCCATTAAAATGGATAAATGAAATAGCAGTTGAAATCAGCCAATGAATCATTCTGTTTAGCCAAAGAGCTGGCTAGCATGACGGGTTGGAGATTGCTGCTGTGGTGCTGAAGGACATTTTTCCAGAATTTCCTCCTCCTGGGATCAATAAAATTCTTCCTCTCTTATCTTAGACGTAAAAACAATCACTACTTCAGCAGAATTATACAAAAAAACAGAAAAGTTTACTACTGCAGAACAGTTGGTTTTCCTCAGCTACGTAAGATATCTCAGAATGTATCACTGAAAAATATTAGGTGACCTTTTAAGTTTATAAGCATTTGTTCTACTTTGGCTAGCAGTGCACCACTGACAAAATTTGGATCATCTAGCTACCTAAAATCACATAAGTTCCTCACAAGAGAAATTAAAGGACTTTGTTGTAATTAGTTCCGATAACCTTTATAGGGTCAACCCACAGAACTGCCTCTTTTTCAGGTGATTCAATGAACCTTCTTGTCTCAAAACCGCCCTGAAGAGCAGCACTTTTATAAGTTACCTTTATCATAGATTGAATACAAAACTGCACATCCTGGTGTAACTGAACACTAGTGTAGCAGGTGATTGGTGATGCACATGGCTAGTGTTCATAAACTTGGACGTTTGCACTTGTCATCTGCATGCTTTTTTTCTGTATTTTATGCATAGTTTAGGCTATACAGGTGGGAGATGAACAGTTACGTTTGTAAAGGAATCACAGAGTAGGGAAGAGAGCGAGTTTGGCAGTGTGTTTACTGTGTCTGTGTTTACAGGGAAGGGGACTGGTGGCTGGCTCGATCCCTCACTTCAGGACAAAGCGGCTACATTCCGAGCAACTATGTTGCTCCTTCAGACTCCATCCAAGCAGAAGAGTAAATCTCAGCCTTCTCTCTTTTGATCCTTTTGTTTTTTAATGACACGTTACCGAAAAGCACCACAGATGAACGCCACTGAAGGACTTTCCTCCCTTCCCATAATGCTGTTTGCTTTTCACACCAAAGTCCTGCCAATATTAAAGAATTTTCCAAAACACCGTGATAGAAAGGTGACAGGAGTTTTGTTGATTAAAATGGAAATTCAAGTTCTCACAAGAACCACACTTAGAAGCAGACAGTCTGAAGAGTCACATAGGCCATATGCTGCTTTTGTCCAGCCAGGTTTGACTCTTCACAGGTTTTTGGTACAAAAAAAATGTAAAAAAAAATAGCATTATGAAGTAGAATGAGAGTGAAGACAAACAGGCAAACGGGCCCCTTCAGATTTCCTCACAGCTTCTACTGTCGTCGGCTATAGGTGGTATTTCGGCAGCATCACCCGCCGGGACTCGGAGAGGCTACTGCTGAGCTTGGAGAACAGGAGAGGCACCTTCCTCGTGAGGGAGAGCGAGACCACGAAGGGTGAGTGTGGCTTTAAGTAAGAGTACTGTAGATGGCTTAAGCCAAAACGGTCTTCTCACTGTCTCAGCTCTAAATTCCCTTCTTGTTGGAATAAAATGTTGATTGTTGTTACACTATGGAGCAGAGGAAGAGCCCAGCCTACCCTCCATAAAACCTTCAGGGTTTGACGGCCCTAACGATGACCTAAATATGTGTCAGAAACAACCCTGTAGGCTTAATAAGTGTTCCAACATACACAAGAAATCCACTGAATATAGACATGATATACTTTTCTACATTATATTGTTAATAGAAATTCAGAACCTTCAGGCCTTCAGAACATTTTTGCTGCAGGTCTGAGCTGCAGCCATAGATATATAACTATACTGATGGTTGTATCAGATGTTACAGCCAGAAATGGGATGGAAAATTATGGGAAAATTCCTTTAAGTGAAAATTCTTCTAGCATCCCTTATCAGTGTAGGTCAGTAGGCCAGAGGAACGAGAAGCAGGGCTGTGGAGGCAGCTAATAAGGGTTAGGGACAAAGCAGTGGGATTCCGGCAGGGTCGGGCCGGGGGTGAGGCCTTGGTGACACACCGCCGGCTATGGATTTTAAGCATGTAACCAAGGATTGAAGGGGCAGGCAACTGAGGCAACAGACTGAAGGAGAGGGACATTAGTAGGTCACTGTGCAGCCAGGCTACATAACTACTGGGCACTATCCCCCGAAGTGAAATTGAAAAGCAGGGTGACTACAGAAGCAAGTCCTGTGTCTGCTCAGTTTGTATGGCGCCCCCTAGTGATCAGTAGAGCAATGACAAGTATTGGTGCCTGCGTATATTTGTATTTATTTAACAGCTTTTGTCCAGGAATTAAGGCAGATACTATGTGGAGGATTACACTGTTCATTTCATTGTGAATTCAGAGCTTTCGTGATGGACAAACGTAGAGCCTAAATTTAAGACTTTCAACAAATATTCTTTTGAATATGTTTTAATTCTTCGTACATCTCTAAAAATGACTAGTGTATAAATGTATTTACTAAGACATTAGAACTTTAGTTATCCAGTCATTATAAGATACGCTGTGGCTAAGATTTCGCCACAAAAATCAATATATCTCCAGTAATGTGAGAGAAATTTAAGCTCCTTGTATTAGGACAGACTAGTATCCTGTCCAGGGTATAACCCAGCCTTGTTCCTTGTATTGCCTACAATAGACTCCTTGTGACCCTGACCAGGATAAGCTTTTAGAACTTGGACTGATGAATGGATGGATATTCAGAGGCATTTTGTCAAAAAAGACTTTAGAAAAGGTATTCAGCCAGGTTAGCTAAATTTGTTTGTTGTGCTACAGATTCTGACAATTGATCACTAAGGAAGTTCGGAAACCTTGTTCTCCTTACAGGTGCCTACTGTCTGTCCGTCCTGGATTATGACAACGTGAAAGGTCTCAACGTGAAGCATTATAAAATCCGCAAACTGGACAGCGGAGGATTCTACATCACATCACGAATGCAGTTCAGCAACCTGCAACAGCTGGTCATGCACTACCGCAGTGAGTCTGCAGACATGGAAAGGGAGACCATGCAAATTGAGTGATGGCCACACGGCGGTCACATGACATCCACAGCTCAGTTCTTTTGATTGACAAATAACAAATCCAGACCTAAGATCACTATTCACAGATACAGACAGTACATTTTTATTCAGCACTGGATATAATATAAGGACAAGTTGACCTGCGTATTTAACCATCTCTTTAGAACTTAAACTAAACTTATCCTATAAGCATTCACTCCAAACCTTGTGTTAATGCAGAATTAATAGCCGAACATTAAAGAAATTGGTTTCCATATTGTACCCATTCATTGCAGTAGTAAAACTCCATTTCTTGTCTTATGTCAGATATAGAAAGCAGGCTAAAATGATTGTGTGTCTGTCCTGTAGAGTATGCAGATGGGCTGTGTCACTGCCTGACAGAGGTGTGTCCCGTACTGAAACCCCAGACCCAGGGCCTGGCTCGGGACGCATGGGAGATCCCCCGGGAATCACTGCGGCTGGATGTTAAGCTGGGTCAGGGTTGCTTTGGGGAGGTCTGGATGGGTAAGGCTCTTCCTCCATGTGGAAATAATGTCATTGATACCTGTGTGGGGTTTATCTGCTTGATACATTGTGCATATGTTTACAGTCATTATTCTTACTTTCTAGATGAATCCAGCTGCAATGGATATAATAATTTTCTGATATGTAAATATTATTGAGGAAAATGTTAACAATTGTAAGTTAAGGGTGGGGCGGGTCCATCCCCTTTATCTGTCTTCACGTGCCTGTACCTTTCTCACTGAAGGTACTTGGAATGGTACGACACGTGTGGCCATCAAGACCTTGAAACCGGGAACCATGTCCCCAGAGGCTTTCCTCCAGGAAGCCCAGGTCATGAAGAAGCTCCGGCATGAGAAACTGGTGCAGCTGTACGCTGTGGTGTCTGAAGAGCCCATCTATATCGTCACAGAGTACATGGGCCAAGGTCAGCACCACAGACCCCTGGGACCACACGCCTATGACCTATGCCCAGTCGCCCGACTGGCTGAGCCATGGTGTCTGCAACTGAACAGTAACCGACCAATTCCTGTTCTCGTCCCCTCAGGAAGCCTGCTGGACTTTCTCAAAGGAGAAATGGGCAAGGTACTGCGACTACCCCAACTGGTGGACATGGCCTCGCAGGTAGGTGTCTGAAACTCTTCACTCTTGTTTCTGAGCCATGATTGTAAATATATGAATTGACTCAGGGTAACACTGTGGATGCATCATCAGATCGCCTCTGGAATGGCCTACGTGGAGAGGATGAACTATGTGCATAGAGACCTCAGGGCAGCCAACATCCTCGTGGGAGACAACCTGGTCTGCAAAGTGGCCGACTTCGGCCTTGCACGGCTCATCGAAGACAATGAGTACACAGCCAGACAAGGTTAGACCCCTAGACGCATCCTATAAGACCCCTAAGTCAACATCTCAGTACTAGTCGAGTTTAAGTAATTCTAACTTTTATATGAGTTAGCGTAATGTTTGCTTCTTATCAACGTGTTTTTCCTTACCTGAGGTAGTAAGGCAGGGAGGATGGATGTTTAGTGTTAATGTACTATTGTTGTTGCGGGAATAAATATACGTGTTAACATAAATTAAAATCTCAAGTCTCTTCTGGGCCTTTCCGTTTTCATTTATTTTACTTAACCTGCTATACATATGCTACTCAGGAGTGTTACGTGTAATGGAAGTGTGGTAAGAAGTAATGGCCATAATTCAAAGGTATTTCACTGTACTCAAACCGGGCACACACAAGTTTCTAGAAAGAACACTTTGGCACCTTCTTCACATCTCCCCACTAGGAGCCAAGTTCCCCATCAAGTGGACCGCTCCTGAAGCTGCGCTGTATGGTCGCTTCACCATCAAATCTGATGTCTGGTCCTTTGGCGTCCTACTGACTGAGCTGGCCACCAAAGGAAGGGTACCATACCCAGGTGGGATGATGCGGATTATTGTAGTTTATTTCCTTTGTGAGTGTTCTGTAGTGAAGCGGGCAAATGTATCCCGACAGATCATCTTTCTGCTCAGTATGAGTCATTATTAAGAGCCACTTACATTTTCTGGATCTCATTGAACCTGCCGAGGTTTACTGAGGCAGTCTGGCACTGGACAGAATTCCAGCTCTGGATTCAAAGCTTTTCTACTGTAATAACAACAGTCAAAGAAAGTTCCTTGTCAAACACACCATACTCTCAACCATAATGGACCTTGATGGTCGAGTAGACCTTCTTGCTGATGGGTTTCTCCCCGACTCTTAGGGATGGTGAACAGAGAAGTTCTGGAGCAGGTGGAGCGTGGCTACCGGATGCCTTGTCCTGCTGAATGCCCCGAGTCTCTGCATGACCTGATGCTGAGCTGCTGGCGCAAAGAGGCCGAGGAGCGGCCCACCTTCGAGTACCTGCAGGGCTTCCTAGAGGACTACTTCACTTCCACTGAGCCCCAGTACCAGCCTGGGGAGAACCTTTAGGGAGGCAGGTCCCATGTAGACTCAATGGCAGATAAGAGTGGGTGTGTAGGTGTGCCCTGCCCCCACGAGACCCCTGGCAAGCCACTGCCAATCCTGTTCGGCTCTCTTATCTTACACCAACTACATCCCGAAACTGCCTCTGTCGTGACGTCTGTCGTTGGAAGCCACCACCTCATGCTGGGGGTTCAGTTCACTGCTGTATAATGAAGCCTCAGAATTGGCTGTGTTTTTATAATAATTATTATTATTATTTGTGTGTTGTTTTGGGGTCAGACGATAGAAACTCCAAACGTTTTGACTTTAATATCAACTTCTGTCCTAAGTGACAGATCCTCATTGACCTGTGACTCCATCCATCCTCAAACCCAGCTCTGCCCCTCTGCCCTCAGTCTCCGTCAGGTCCGTTGGCCCTGTCAAGCTTGCGATGAGCCCTATGTTTTTTAGACCTGGTGTCACCCAGTCTCTGGTGACCACTAACTGCATCCTTGGTATCACTTTGTCACTCTTTCAGATGCACATTATTATTCTTTGGGGAGAGTGAATCCATCAAAGTTTTGAGATTTGTCTTGTTTTTCTCCTTCTTTTTTTTTGGTTGGGGGGGGGGGGGGGTTGTGAAGTGAAAAACAACCCCTAGCCTCTCCCAGCTCGACAAGGCATTACTGATCTCTGCCATATGAAACACAGGGTCAATATTTAGTCTTTTCTTTCCCTCCACTACTGGATTGACTGGAATTCGGCATTTGTTCAGACCAGCGACCAGTGGCGATGGTAGCTGTCCATGGGAGGACTGAAGGTGAAGATAGCAGCAGTTAATTACTAGGGGGCTCAACAACAAGAACGAGGCAGGTGGAGATGGAGTGGCCGGGGAGGTACTACTATTTTGTTAGAGCTTCCTCAAAGAAGAATCCACAAGGTTACTGAAACGTACTGAAACAGTCAACATGAGCTGCTTTGATCAGCCTGTAGGACTTCTGGGAAAACAACCCTGTAAAACTACTGATCAGCCCAGTCCTTTATTAATACTGGGATCCTGCTGCAGTTTTTTTTTTTGTGCCAATGAAACTTTTCTTTTTTTTGTACTGTCTGCTGTGAAAGAAAGTGTATTTTTTATCTCACGGTTTCCTACAAAATCATGTCCGTCCATTGGCGAGCCCCAAGCAGCCGGTTCCGTATTGTCTGCGAATCCCACGCCCCCACTGATTTCACAGACGCCCGTTGCGCTTTGTGCCGCCCCTGTGGTTGGGATTCAGGGTGGTTTACTTGCACTTGGGCCGCCTTAGAGGTACAGTGACTGTCCACAAAGTGATCTGCTAATCCCCCTCCATCTTATGTTTATGCAAGTAAAATGCTGTCCTGTTCCCTCCACACCTTTTTGATGGAAATTCTCTCGCTTGTCACTGTTGACTGAATGTTCTACATAAAAATGTGTCCTAAACGTTACAGGCATCATTCTTCTGTATTTCTGACAGAATTCTAGGTCCTGTTACACCGTCCATTGAGTTTTCAGCTGCACTGAATACTTTTTCGTTTTTTTCTTCCTTGAAAAAACATTTCCAATATTCCTTCTGTCAGTCATCCACTTCTGCATTTCTCACTGGATCAGCCAAGTCTCTTGATTCAGCCAAGACCATTAATAGATATACAAGATGGCACAAGGGGGCTATTTTGTGTAGATTTGCCTTTGTTTGATTGTAGATGCCTGCAATCCTATATGATCCTGACTACATCACTACATTGCTGATAGACACTGAAAATGGTGCATTGATATTAGAATTCCCCATTCAGGAAGTCAGTGGGTGCAATGTTTTCATGTGTGGCTCTCAAAAAATGTTTTATACTTTATAAATTATTAATCTGGATGAATGTACTGGATGTAATCTGACCAATGTTAGGGTCAGAAGGTTTCATACAATATAATAGAATAGTATTTCCCAATCTGGTTCTCGGGGACACAGAGACAGTCCACATTTTTGCTCCCTCCCAGCTTGGGCAATAAAGTGGACAGTCTGCAGGTCCCAGAGGACCAGACTGGAGAACATTGGACTAAAATGTTATCTTTGGCATGAATTATTCAGCCTGATCCCTGGTGTAGTCATTTGACCACAGAGAAGGACTTCAGTATGACCAATGGACATGGTCCTGCAAAATCGTATCAGTGACCGAGCTACAACTGTGGACAATTGCAGGACTTTCTCAAGATTTATTTGGATTTGTTGCATTTTATATCTGTTCCGGTGTGACATGATTTAATTTAGATTTTGCTTGACTATGCCTAAAACATCTGCCTTAATTTGCCTTGGGAGGTGATTCAATAAATGCGTAAATGATTTTAGTTGTAGCCCAGCAGGATAAACATAAAATATTTTTAACTTTATGTAACATGATTGGGATTTTTCTGCCATTGATCAGTATGAATACATCTGCATTTATGTAAATGGTTTCAGGAGACGAGGTACCCATTTCTGACTGTATGTTGATTCACTCTGACATCCAAAAGGGTTCCCTGAAATCCTAAGACCTTTGCAGTTCATTGAACCTGTTTTCACACAAATTTAATGGAGAAAGTAAATTCCTGTATTTTTGTGCAATCATTATGAAGAAGGGTGCAGATTATTGGGAACAACCGCAGTGTCATATAGAGTAATACATCAGGTTAATTGGTAGTGTCTTCCCCCAATATTTAAATGACAGAAATGTCTTTGGAATGTTGATTATTGGCTAAATACACGAGCTTCTCTACATGCAAGACTGTGTTAGCTGGCATGAAAACGTGGTGCACAGTTTTTCCTTACTGTAAAATGGTTGTGTGTAAATGCCTCCATGACTAATGAATCTTGCATTAAAAAAAAAAAAACCATATTCTCTCAGCAGTGTCTAACAAAGTCCCTGTGCGTGCGTTTTGCCCTATTTTAGCGATTAAGAACAACATCTGCAGGGCACCGTAAATGGTCTAAAGGTACGAAATGGGTAATGATGCAGATCTGCCCTTTTCCTGACTTGACACCAACCATTTTGTGGTGGTCTCTTGGTTTAGTACACTCGACAGTTTTGGTACTAGATCTCAAAAATCTCAAAATACTTTGTCTTCAGATATAAAACCTCCTTCTGCCACCACAGAAACGAGGGGTTTGTCATTATGTTCAAATTTTGTTCGCTAGTCTACAGAAGGTAACTTTGCACTCTAGAAAGTCACCCAAGGTTTTTAAAGGCACCTGTCATAATTGTGAAGTTTTACTATAAAGGTCTATCATAACCGATTCAGTCCATTCATGTATTTTCTGTTAAGCTTGTCTGTTTGAAGGTCTGTATAGTTCAGTTGTGCTTCTATTGTTATTTCAAAAAACAAATGTAAATGGATGTAGCTCGCATCCCCTCCAGGATGTACCCCTATCCCCCCCCCCCCCCCCCCCCCCCCGCGACCCCGATCAGGAAAAGGTTTGGAAATTAATGGATTTATTTCAGAATTTATGTATATGTGTACTCATTCTGTCATCAATATTTAAATAATCTGCCCTGAACAGATCATGCAATCAATAGCTGTTAGGGAGACACAGTTAGCTCAGTATCATTTTGGTATCATGGAATCTTCTTTTAGGTCTGAACTGTTGATTGACATTTCCAGTATTGTTCATTGGTGTTAACCGATTTATTCGGATAGCTGTTTTGGAGGGGGGGGGGCGCTAATGCCAAGGACACTGTCTTTCTCAGTTTGCTTCACAGCATAGGGGTTACGCAGTTTTTCCCGCTATAACCTATGCAGTCTGGTTTCTCCCATTCCTCTGTGACCATTTTTTTACTATTACAAATGGACATTAAAGGCAATTATGATCTCAGAACAATAATAATTTTGTAGCAGTCGAATCAGTTCGTTCATTTTCAAAAACAAACAGAAAACCTAATAAATTGTAATTGTACCTAACAGACTGCAATGTACCATTTCATGTTGTAATCCTTAAATGTGCAATAAATTTCTTTTTTGTATTTAAATTGATTAAATACGGTGAGAGGTGTTAAATGCTTCCGTATACCTTAAATACTACTACTTACTGTTAACTTTACTAATTACCTTGTGACTTCAGCTTACTTTTAAATAAGAGCCAGATATCCCAGTTTAATACCACACCTGTGTGACAAAAGCTTATTATTTTTCCCCTTGGTTTTATTTTGTCCTTTAACCTGTGGATTCTATGTGAGCTGCTTTTAATGTATTGAGAGAATGACTTGATAAAGAGCAAAGAATTGGGCATGGAGAGCACCTCTATGTGTGGCACATCCTGGAGCTTTGAAAGCAAAGTCAATAAATACCTTCCCCATCAAGGAAATCAGTCACAACACCTTTCTTCATTGTTGGGAAACCATGACCCAATCTGAAAAATAAGCTGAAAGCCAGTACTGCCAAAAAGTAGATGGTATTGCTATGGAAACCAAAAGCCCAGTGCGCGGTTTCCTGCCAAGAGTAAGAAGGCACTTACTGGCTGTATTAAAAACTGGTATAAATTTCCTATCATACCAACATGTCATTGGATATTGAAATGGAGCCATTTATGTCTGAAATGCATGAAGATTTTAATAATCTATTCAACCCGTGTGTGTATGTGTGTGTGTGTGGGTGTGTGGGTGGTTGGTTGGTTCTTGTAACCTGGATTCAGTAACCTCACCACTGTAGAAAGGGCACCACCTGCTGGTCGACACCATTCATAAGGATTTTCAATCTGAATCAGTGTTTCCCAACCTAGTCCTCGAGGAACCCTGGCCAGTCCACATTTTTGCTCCCTCTCAGCTCCCAGCCAATCAGGACCACCGAATACCTGGTACAGGCGCACTGGGAGCAGAGAAGCAGCAATATTGTGGACTGAGTTGGGAAACACTGATCTATATAATCAAATAATTAAGATTTGAAATTGGTTACAATGCTGCAAATCTGTGGTATTACAGAAACACCAAGTGTAACAGGCATCAGGTCCACAGCAGAAAGTAAAATAGTGCATACAGTCCATACAATTTCCATTTGTTCAAATAATCAAGTTGTTTGTCATTTGGAACAAAAACTAATTTCAGGTCATGCAAGATTAACCACAGCTACCAAAATGTCGGCTACTAAAAGCTCTTTTTAAACTGTGCTTCTCAAACCTTATGACAGGTTGACAGGAACATGGTGATCAGCAAGATTTTCTCCTCTGGAGGAGGGATTCTGCACCGTAGGATGCTGACAGCAGAGCCCTTCCGCATTAATCCAAACGTCCCTCTAATTGACAGGACTCTGACAGCCCACTTGTTGTGCAGGGTTAGAGTATCTGACAATCTGAATCTCCAGCACTGGTGGTGAAATGCCAGTTGCTTGCTGGTTGTCCAGTTAGAAACAAAAAGCACGTCTTATTCCGACCGCTATACACAAAATAGACACTTGTCAACTTCTGCTACAGGCATGCGTGTGTGGTTCTGAAATAAAAAATACATATATCCTGCATCCTATACAGCGGTCTCCACAATTATTGGCACCCCTTGTAAAGATTTGTAGAAAGGGTTAGAAAAAATCCACCTTTTGGTGAAGCAGCTTCATGTCACACTGAAAAATTGAGTAAGATCCAACCTTTCATTACCAAATTTATTCCAAGAAAAAAAAATCCTTTGTCAAGAAATAATAATTTTTTATCAAAAACACATGTGATACGATTATTGGCACCCCAGGAAATTATAGTGAACACAATGTAACTAAAGCATGTTTCCCCTGTAAATTGTACATCTTTTCTTCTACATTGAGTGGAGTGAATAGTGACATTCAAGCTGTAATCCATGACTTCCTGGTTAACCGGGATACGAACATGAGGTGACACAGAGCCCAAATTCCCTTAGTTATCCATCATACAAACCAAAAGAAGTGTGTTGACCTTCATAAGTCAGGGAATGGAAATTAAAAATAGCTACTTGCCTTAAAATGTCCATTTCTACTGCTAGGGCAATAATAAAAAAGTGGACAACTAGAACTGTTACAAACCTGCCTGGAAGAAGACCCAAGTTTATTTTTCCCCCACGCACAGTGAGGAGGATAAGAGAGGCAAAAAAAATCCCCAAGGATGACTGTTGGTGAATTACAAGACCAAGTAAAATCTTTAGGTTACCACGTCTCTGAAAAAACTGTCAGATGCCCCCTTCGTGTTAATAGATTATTTGGAAGGTATGTGAGAAAAAGCTTTTTTTCCATCCATCCATACATTATCTCCCACTTGATCCTAAGTCAGGTATCGGGGGCAGCAGTCTCAGCAGGGAAACCCAGACTTCCCTCTCCCCGACCACTTCATCCAGCTCCTCTGGGGGAATCCCGAGGTGTTCCCAGGCCAGCCGAGAGACATAGTCCTTCCAGCGTGTCCTGGGTCTTCCCCGGGGTCTCATCCCAGTGGGACATGCCCGGAACACCTCACCAGGGAGGCGTCCAGGAAGCATCCTAAGCAGATGCCTGAGCCACCTCATCTGGCTCCTCTCAATGTGGAGGAGCAGCGGCTCTACTCTGAGTCCCTCCCGAAGGGTGAGGAGCTCAGTCATATCTCTAAGGGAGAGCCCAGCCACCCTGCAGAGGAAACTCATTTCGGCCGCTTGCACTCGCGATCTCGTTCTTTCGGTCACTACCCACAGCTCGTGACCATAGGTGAGGGTAGGAACGTAGATCGACTGGTAAATCTAGAGCTTCGCCTTTTGGCTCAGCTCCTTCTTCACCATGACAGACCGATGCAGCGCCCGCATCACTGCTGATGCTGCACTGATCCGCCTGTCGATCTCCGGTTCCATCGTCCCCCCACTCGTGAACAAGACCCCGAGGTACTTAAAATCCTCCACTTGGGGGAGGCCCCCATCCCCGACCCGGAGAGAGCATTCTACCTTTTTCCGGCTGAGGACCATGGTCTCGGATTTGGAGGTGCTGATTCTCATCCCAGCCGCTTCACACTCGGCTGCGAACTGCTCCAAAGAGAGCCGAAGGTCACGGTCCAATGAAGCCAACAGAACTACAACATCTGCAAAAAGCAGAGACGTAATCCTGAGGTCACCATACCGGACACCCTCAATGCCCTGGCTGCGCCTAGAAATTCCGTCCATAAAAACTATGAACAGAATCTGTGACAAAGGACAGCCCTGACGGAGTTCAACCCTCACCGGAAACAAGTCCGACTTATTGCCGCCCATGCGGACCAAACTCTGGCACCGGTCAAACAGGGACCGAACAGCCCTTAAAAGGAAGCCCGGCACCCCATACTCCCGGAGCACCCCCCACAGGACTCCCCGAGGGACACGGTCGAATGCCTTCTCCAAGTCCACAAAACACATGTAGACTGGTTGGGGAAACTCCCATGAACCCTCCAAAACCCTGCTGAGAGTATAGAGCTGGTCCACTGTTCCACGGCCAGGGCGAAAACCACACTGCTCCTCCTGAATCCGAGGTTCGACAATCCGGCGGACCCTCCTCTCCAGAACCCCCGAATAGACCTTATTAGGGAGGCTGAGGAGTGTGATCCCCCTACAGTTGGAGTACACCCTCTGGTCCCCCTTCTTAACGAGGGGGACCGCCACCCCGGTCTGCCAGTCCAGAGGCACTGCCCCCGATGTTCTGCACATGTACCAAATTACATCCAAATCAGAGTTTTACTTCTGGGTGCTAAACTTATTTGTAACTGAGTATACAATCAGATGGATGCTCTTCAGGAAGTACATAGCGTCAATTGAGCAGCACAGTCAGTGACTTCTTGAACTTCAGCTATTTAGGTGCCTACAAACACTTTATTACCTCCAGGTCAACACAGTAGTATAATCTGAACAAAAGTGATGTCAAACAGTCAAATTAAGATTATGGGCAGCATTCTAAAAAAAATATTTTTTT